GCAGGAATGTAAATTCTAGTGTATAATGCCGATTTCAAGTTAATTACTACTTGCATTTCTAAACGAGACTACAATTATAAATCCACAATAGCATGGTTTTATCATTTCCCTGCAACTTTGACTACAAATTATAGACAGGGACTGTGTGCCCACTCTGCACCACGTAACCCTGTACGGTCTGCCCTATAGCTGTAAGATCCTCCTAAATGGATGCTTTTATCGTTCAGAGCTAACATCTGCTAAATCACACCATTGTTTCTTCAGCAGATGGCTTGTCAGGAAGCCAGATAATAAAGATGTGTTTACACTGTATATACAGCCAGACTAATGGTCTGATACCGATAGGGCCTGTTTGCTATGTCGATACTAATTAGCCAAGCAGAGCCAATGAAAGCTTTCCAAAAGACTGCATGTTAATACATTAGATTCATTAAGCTTCATTAGGAAGGCAGAAACAAACATTTTAGGATATGGAATAAGTGCATTTTTATAATGTTGTTCTTAATTATTGCACAGGCAAAATGTTTTGACCGCTTTACAAAAAGTGATTTTAAAAAAGCAGGCTAATCCTTATAGAGTTTTCTATATTAGCTATGCTTCCTAGGAAAAATTCAATGTTCAAATCAAATATTCTATCCATACATTTTTCACTATAAAAAAATTTTTTTTTAAATCTTCTCTAGGAATAAGAGGAAGAGAGGAAGGCTAAAAAGGGAATTTCAAAATAAAACCCAATGAGAAAATCAAGAAACAAGCAAATAGTAAGAATATATTATCAAGTGTATTTTTATTAGGCTCAGTATTATCTAAGCAATGAGAAAATTAGAATATGCTCATCAGCTATATAATCATCTAGGCTTTCCCTGCAAACTTCCAAATAAAAACTCGTTAAAGTATACATTTTATTAATGTCATTAAAAATTAAGACAAAGACTACTGCAAAATTCGCATTCCTAAATAAAGGTTATGTTTATAGGTTTTATGTTCAGCCTCCAGACATTCTTAAGCAAAAACAAAGCCATTAGTGCAGGCATATAAGCAAATTGTGCCATAAGTCATGATCTTCAAACTCAATCCAAACAGCAATGCTAATAAAAACTAGCTGCAGAAATGCAAAAAGCACTGAGCTGTGCAAATGTAAATGACAAGCTTGCCAATCCATTAAAACTAATGGCCTACACTGTCCATGCAGCTCTGGTTGGATTCACATGCAAATTTGTATGCAAAGTGTTCAAGCACTTTGCAGGACATGATATACCATCAATATCAATTCACACGTTATTCCGATGGCAAGATACTTGAATCACGTAGGTCCTTTATATGCCCAGGCTTACCTTGGAGTTTGCCATGTTTTCCCAATACTTTTACAAGGCCTACGTACTTGTTGGTGTCAAGGACAGCAGATGAGTCTAAACGGTCACTAAAAATTAAAGCAATATTTATAGTATGTTAAAAGTCAATTAACTGAAAAAAGAATTGCAATATACATTTTATCACTTTTCAAAAAAAAATCACACTGTCTGAATTGTTAACAACATTGCCCCTACATTTAAGTTATGGTTTGTTTTTTGAAGCCACATACAAATTTGCATATAATTATACTCAAAGTGACAAGAAGTAAAACCCTAACACTACATAAAAATTGTACCACTCCATCTGCAAATGATACAAATGAAGGAACAAATGAAAGAACTCTCACTTCATGGCACGTCAGATGATTCTAACTTCGTCATGGACACTGAAATACCCAAGACATATTTTCATTTGCTAAATCAAAATTGGGAAACCAAAGATACCTGAGAAATGGAGAGAATTTTGCTTACACTACAGTATCGCAAGAGGACTATTCAACAAGCCTTAAAAATACCATCACCACTGTTATGATGTAATATGGGAAAAAAACCTTGGCTTTAAGGAATAGAATGTCTTATATTTAAAGACTCTGCTGCAAACAAGCCATAACTAATCAGTCTCATATTATGAAATTTAAAAACAATGACAAAAAAATTTTTAATCATATTATATGAGAGTAATGTTCAATCTACATGATCCACCAGGACTGTATATCAGCATTAATGCTGAAGATCTGTTTCAGTGCCAGGGTACTCACAATTCCTGTTTCAGGTTCAATGCATCTTCTGCATTATCATGTCGACAGCACAAATTTATTAAAGCTGCATAGCCACCAACAGCCATGTCTGGTTCATATTTTGCTTTCAATTCGAGAGCTTTTTTCATGTTCTAAAGAACAGAAGTGAAAAAGAAGAAATAAATATAAAAGAAAACATAAAATTTCTAGATTTAATGTTTGAAATGTAGAAAAAGAATACTTTAAAAATAGATTTATGTTATTAGTTTCACCTTGCTTCTTGATATTTTTATTCACCTTTCACAAAGCAGGCGAGATATTTATGTAGGGTTTAAAAGATTTGTTATTTGTACTGCAAAACAGGCCACTATGCCAAATTTGATGTTTCAGCTTTGATACTGTATTATAAAAAAGACTTCCAGGTTAAATATGTATCAGGTCAACCCCTACTCATGTCCAATTTCCATACACAGAAATATATATCATTGCAAAGTTCCTCACAGTCTAGTTAAATATCCATGTGAAGAAATATTTTAGAATTTAACAGTACTATGTTATAATCTTAAAGACAGTTATATTTTTCCCCTAAAATCACAGGCATAAGACCAAATCATATTGAACTAGAAACTGAAAAAGTCTAGTGATATGCCACAAATTGCAGACACACACTAAAATAAACACAAAGTACAGCTGGACGCCTGCTGAAAAAAGGCAAGAGACCCTTTATCTCAGAGAAAGAGCTTTTTTTCCAGCAGGAAAATGGAATTTCAATCCTTGCATTAACAACCTCGTAATATTTGACTTGCAAATGACTACTGCATGTATCAGTTGCTTGACAATCTAGATATAAGAGACCGGAGCCATGGCTTGAAAGGACATTTGGCATGTATGATAAACCTATCACGGCTGTTACTATCATTCACTTTGCAGATTATCGTAAACAAACTACAGCAACTCGAAAACATGCCATTCAAGGTGTAGCTAAAATTAGTTAACCTTTCATTTAATTGCATTCTTCACAGGCATGACATATAATAATCAATTGTAAAAATCATAAATATTGTATTTGGCCTTGCTTATACTTATCTATAAAGAATTTTTTACCCTAATAGAATATTTAAAATATTTAAACATTACCTCTTCTGAACAAAGCGTTAATATAAGCTGCTTTAGGACATCTCCTATAGGTTGATTTTCAGCTTTTAGTTTTTCAAGAGTAGACTCCAAATCAGATGATGTAAGCTGTGTAGTCCACAGAAATGCAAAGAAAAAAAGAAATTCACTACAAAAAGAAAATGTACCACTTGTCACTCTGCCTTTTAAACTTACCCTTCCTAAATGTCATAAATGCTATCAAGAATATTAATCTGGGTATCTGTGGATGGACTCTAGGGGTTCACCGAAGCTCATGTGATTATATGTATGCAAATTTCTTAGATATGTTGATTATTCTGAGAGGGGAATAGCTTTTACCAACTTTTTAGTGGTATACCAATGGCAAAATGTTTAGGAACCACTAGTTATATACAGTATAGAATTCTCATTAAATGTGGTTATTATAGAATGTAGAATCTACTCAAAAACCTACTTACTTTTCGAGAGTCTGTCTTCTCTCTTTCAACCAATATACTAACATCCTAAAATTGAGATTTAAATTAGAATTAAAAAACACATAGAAAAATGTTAGCAAATGTCAAAAGCAAACTGAAACTCTCCTCACTTTACTGCTATTTTTCCATCTTTCCAAAATTTTCCAGAAATTCTTTTCATATTTTATTATCCATTTTAATAAATATTTTAAATGCATTCTTCAATATATAAACAGTATTTACCAACAATCAATGAAAAAGCCTTGTTTTAACTGTTGTCATTTAAATAAACTTTTTTTTGCCTAAGCATATTTAAATAAAATTTTAACATGCTTTTTAGATATAAAGTAAGCATTTAAAAAGTTGATTAGTATTTCTCACACACCTTAATCAATTCAGGAACATGGTAGCTATCCAGTAGATTACGAATGCCTCTGTAGATATTTTCAGGAATTTTTACATTCTGTGCAAAAAGAAGGGAGGAAAAAAAAACAGAAACAAAAACAAAAACCCCTGAGTTTGAGACAACCAAACTGAAATTTGTCTAACAGAAATTATCTCAGACATAATTTAAGTCTCCAACTCATGTATGTCATTGAGAAGTGGTCTGGTTGTACTTAAAAGCAGCAATTTCAAATCTAATAGATACATGTCAGGCAGGACAGGCATTATATAGCAAAAAATGAAATGGTACCATCTCCTTCAGCTGATGGAAGTATTGTCTCAAACGCTCCTCCTTGGCCTGTACCTCTGAGTCACTCATGCTGTCAATCAAGTTATAAAGAAAATAGCCAACAGCTTCTGCGGAAAAAAACAAGAGAAAGCATTCCACTAAAATTACTGAGACTGTCATGTTATCAAGATTAATTTATAAGAAATCATTTTGGTGTGAGATGTCACCCTGATGAGAGGCTCTGAAATGGCAACAATGATCACTGAGGCATAGAGATTATGTGGTTTGGGAGCACATATCTAACTGGTGAGTGAAAGGAATATTAATTATTTTCAGACCGAGTGACAGCTTTTCAGTACTGAATCTTACTTCAATCTATTTTTTTCCACCGCTCTATGACAGAAGTGGTTCTGCCCAAGGCCTTACCCCTTTCCTGTCCAATTCACAGTAGTGAGAATAAATAAATGCCTTGTACTCATTTCTATACTAATTTTTTTGTGGGCAATAAAATTAGAAAGGATTGTTAAATGTTGAGTATAGAAAGTTAAGTAATTTTAATAAGTAGATACAGTAATCCTGTGGAGAGCTGCCTATTAGCCAATGAAAAACCAAGATTAACAAAGATGTTTCGTAACAACAGTAATTTTCCTATGCGTTCAAGCATAAAATATACAGGGCCATGTGTTAATACCTAGGATAGAAAATGTGAACTTTCAAGAAGGGTACCTTCCTACAGAAAACATTTGGTTATAAATCTTTATACTGATAACCACAACATTTTGAGGTCTATGAGGTGTTTGGTTTTCTCATAATTATTTTTTTTAAATACAGGGATGGGAGGCTTTTTCTTTTCAGATATTGAGGAAATGATTCTTATAGTACCGATGAAAGTAGGCTTAAAAATCAGTAATCTTTAGTGTTTATGTGGTTTTAATGTTTCGCAAGTGTAGTTAGTTATCTTTAAACATATAAAATAGTAAAAAAGTCTTATAAATTTTTCCCACTTAAATATAATTTATTACATTATTTGACAAAAAGACTTTCATTTTTCATATAATAAGACCTAGAATATATGATTTTCATATTTCACTTTCAAAAATAAAACATTTACTGTTGTAATCTTCCCAGCCCATCATTACACAGAAGAATGGACTTGTGGATAAGTTACAATCATCAAAATTGAAACGCTACCCGTTGGTCCTGGAGGCTCCTGGCAATAACGTCCATCCTTGTACAACAGTTCTGTTATCTGGTAAGACAGAAAATTCGCGCATTGCAGCAAGAGAAGCAAACAAGAATAAATACAATCTGAAATTGAATTCTTGAAATAATAAAGCCTCTCCCGAGTCAGGTATTATTCTTTATCACAGGAATTCAACACCACCCCCACCTGCCAAGGAGGTTGTTTCGTTTTTAAATAATAGGTTTGTCTTTTAAAAACAAAAACAAAACAAACCCATGTTGAAGGAAAACTGCAATATTTTATAAAATGTCACTAACAAAGCCTCTAAACTGATTTGTTTGTATATTGTTTTAAATGAATTATCATACATGGGAATTGCTTATAGAAACTGTCAACCAATATTATTTTTCATATTGTATTTGGTCTTGTTAAAATTGGACCGGTTTCTTTGTTTTAAATGAAGTATTACAGAAATAATTAAATATCCTATACCACTAAATAACTTTTTTTTTTTTTTTAGTTTTTTATCAACCTCTTCATAGTCATTTTAATGGCATCAAAAGGGGTCAAAAGTTATAATGTATTTATTCTCCTGGATCCTTATCAACTGAATACACAACACTTACCTTTCAACATTAATTCTGCTGGCAAGATTTTTCTTAAAAAAGATCCAAATATGTATTTTATAATGAAAATTATTACGAAAGCTAGAGCACTGACTTGTAACTTCTGAACACAGTATTTGACTATATATCCTTGGGCAGAAGATAATAAAAATGGAATCACAATTATTTTCCAAAATGATGTCAGTTAAGAATTATGAACTACTTTATATAAGTCTAACACTGAATTTATCTGCTCTTAAAGTAACACCTGGCACATATTATAAGTGTTAACTACTCAAACTACAGTTATTTCTACTACTATTTATTTGCTAACATGAAAAATTAAGCAAAATTAACCACATTCCACTTCACTCCACCATGAACACTGTGTTGCAGTTAGCGGCAATTCAAAGGATAGTTAAGGTAGAAACTGTTCAAAATCAAAGCAAAACAATCTTCACCTACAAACTGTTTTTTAACCAACAAAGATACGTGTAGAAGACAAATTCTATCAGAAGTTGTAGCCATACATTAAATATAAGACAACCACATTTAACACCAAATTTGGAACAAAGATACATTCAATAAATAAACCAATAAAAACTCTAGTCAAAAAATTACTTCCAAGTATAACTATCCCAACCATAAGCTATAACTGACTATATAGTTTGAAAGACTATAATATTAATAACAAAATTGAATGAAACTTAGATTTTAAAAAATATTTAATTGGGAATTCTAATCAATAATGTGCATTCTGATTTTATTATGCTACAAATATTTCTTGCAATTCAAAATGAGGATAATTGTATTTACTGCATAAAAGCAGTTAACTTCTTAAAAATATAGCAGTTAAAAATTGGTCTGTTTAACATTTATATATACACTTACACAAATGTATATATATGTATACGTTTTAAAAATTATTAAATCTGTATGGCCAAATGTCACTTCAAGATTCTAAACTCATTAACTTATAACAATACATTATAAATGTATAGAGCTATTATAACTTTTGCTCTTAATAGTTTTTTATACATCCCCTTATGATTTGCACAATTAGTACTTACCTTGCTCCAAAGATTTACATTCATTGACCTGCAGAGGGCAGCAAAGGATTAAAAATAATTTAAAAATCATTTTAAGTTAAAACACACTAGCAATTATTATATGCAATGCATACAGATCAAAGCCTTAAAATAAATACTAAATGTTTCCAAAATCAAGTTGAATTTTCAGGAGAAGGTAATTTAATTTAGAAAAGTTGACTCTCACTTTTGACCCCTTCAAAACTAAGGTTAGTTTGAGCAAGAATCATTAGAAACCATCCCTAAATCTTGAGGTCCAAGCTTGATGGAGCACAATATTTGTATGGTCTCAAAGTGTCTGCCTATGACTGCTTATTACTTGTAGTGGTAAAGACAGTAACCATATAATGGAGAAGTCAAACAACATCTCTATTGGATATCAAAGTTAATATCACTAATGAGATGCTGATGGACATTGTGTGATTTTAGATTTCATTCCCTGAGGACAGAATATCACTCCTTTGGAACTTCAGCCAGGATGTATAATCTGAAGCTAATCACGGAAAACCACCATGAGGAATATCCTATAAAATAAGTAGCCTATATTCTCCAAAATGTTAATGTCATAAAAGACAAAGGCTGTTCCGGACAAGAGTGAATTAAAGAGAAAAGACAATTAATTCATCCCTGAACTGGATTCTGTACAAGAAGAAAGAAAATACGATAAAAGAAAATAATTGATAAAACTGAAACATAAACTATATTAGAAAAATTATTCCATCAATGTTAAAATTTCCTGAACTTGCTAACTGTGCTGTGGTTACGAAACATCATATCCTTGTTCTGTGTAATTACATACTGATATATTTAAGGGAAAAGGGTCATGATATATGTAACCTCAACCCAAACAGTACTGAAAACTTTTATATATCTGTATGTGTATATATGTATATAGATTCACAGACTGATGGAATAAATGATAAAGTGGCAAAATGCTAAAAGTTAATAAATGGAGATACAAGAGTTCTCTGTACTATTCTTATAACTATGCAAATTTGAAATTATTTCAAAGAAAGCAAAAAATACCCCAGCTCACCCAAATTTTGCCTATTTAAATGAGAAATCATTTACAAAACAGGATAATCAATGAACATTGGTTTTATACTACTTTTAAGCTTTGTAAACTTAATGTCTATAAGTTTCTTTGAGAAATCGGTTAACAGAAAAAATGATAAACTGACCTAAAAATCCTAACTCTAGGCTGTAGTGGGAAACGATCCCTCAACTATCACAAGAGAGTTTTCATCTATTTATTACATAAATTACAACTATTTATTACATACAGAGCAGCCTGCTGTGACTACCTGGCATTGCCACATGCAAAAAAAAAAAAAAAAGTTTTTCTTTTTTACAAATAAGTGAAAAAAGAGATCTCAAGACATGAGGATAAATGCAGAATAAAGAGTACAATATGGTAAAAATTTATATTGTTAAAAAATTAGGTATCTTTTTTTGGTTAGGTAGGGACAGCTTTCATTCCAAGGACGCTTAACCTAGATGCCTATCACATCTAAGGAATGGGGATGGGGGATGGGAGTAGGAAAATCAGAGTTTACAGAGATGGGGTCAATGCCTAAAAATGTACAATATTATGTAGCAACGCTTGCAGTGGTTTGTCACATTTGCTGTATCATGTACCCCTCCCCACCTTTGGGAATCTGATGAAATCTCAATTACTATAAATTTTGTTAAGTGTGAGAATACAGTGGTTCTGTTCTTTTACTTAAAATTCTGAGATGTATATTAAAGTATTTATAGACAGACGACAGATCTGTAATTTAAACAGTCCAGGGGAAAAAAGGAGGGTAGGGATGGGAAAGAAAGAGATGAAACAAGATTGCCAAAATTTTAACTGTTGAAATTGAGTGATGGGGAGTTTTACTTTTGTGAATATTTGAAAACTCTATAATAAAAAATAAACATACACCATCTCTGGTCCAAATTCTGCATCTCTATTCCAACTTTCAATAATAAGCTAGTTTTCTTTTTAAAGAAAAGCTCTTTTAGTCATGTCTTTGATCAAAATACTAATTTACTATAGAATAAAAAATATTGCTAAGATGTTAAATTGCCCTCAGACCTGGTATGAAGTACCGTGAGAAGGCATGGAGATAAACTTTCAAAATTGTACATATATTTAAAACAACTGAAAATAACTTAAAGCACTACCTTGAAATGGGAAGCTTCATGATAAATGGTGTGGGTTCCAAAAAAAAAAAAAAAAAAAAAAAACAAACCTATGAAGAATCTTTTAAAGCTACAGTTTGTAAAAAATAGTTAACATTTCTTTACTACATATTCACTCCCTAATGCACTGCAATCTGGTTTCGGGCCCCAAACCTCCACTGTACTCTTGCTAAAATACTACTAATCTCAACTCAAAATTCACCCAGCACTTTTCAGTCCCCTTTGACTATGTTTTGAGATTTATGTTGTTATTGATCATTATCTTGTTTTTTGTTAATTTAAAATGATCAGTTTTTTTCACTGTGATTAGAAGTCCAAATGCATTTTTTTCATTTTATTTATTTATTATTATATATATATATTTTTAGGCGAGGCAACCCTTGGTTGACCTCACAGATTGGAAGGACCTTGTCACCTTACAATCCCTTATTTTTATTTTTTTAACATCTGGCATTTAATGTGGTGACTTTCAATAAGACTAGTGTCAGAAAGTTGATTGCATTTCAATGTATGAATAGCAGCACCACTTCAGCGGTACAGACTCTCAACTAGCCAAGTCCAGACTATTGTCACTGGGTCAGAAAACCCCTCGTTAGATCACAGAACTCTTTTCTGTGCACAACAAAGAATTAGATGCCTTCACGGAAATTCTGAAACATTTTTCTTCATGATATGATATATTCCTGGCCAAGTTTTGAACTAGCTTCAGTGACATTTTGTCTCTCAGAAGTGACTCAATATTTCTGATGGTGGAATTATCAATAATACATAAAACGTATAATCTCCTCTTTCTCATTTGAATTTTGTTTGGCTAGTGCTATTAGGAAGAAAGTCTTATTCATAATAAACATCTTCTCGCCCCAGATTTGACATAAGACTTTACTAACTTTATCAGTCAGATCTAAATGCCCTTTAAAATATACTCTTAAAAACAGCCTTATTTTTTTTTAAAGTTTAAAAGTAAAAATTCCCTAAGAATCTTAAAGACTCTCCCCCTAAGCAGTATTGAATTTTAATTTCAACAGGTAATTTTGCCTCTATGTGTTAATAAACAATTTATAAATTGAAAAAAATTTTAGGAAAGCATCACACTTGATTGGTAATCAATGACCACTTCTTGAGTTTATCAACTTACAGAAATACCAACTTGCCATTCGAATACTACTCTAAAAAGATGAAGAAAATAGTGTTTGTTGGTTTTTCAAAAAAATTTCAAGGTAGCAAAAAACAATTAATCTGGGCTAAAACAGGTTACAGAACACATGCTAAGAACTACTGCCTCATAGACCCTAGATCTACCACTAGGACGCAGATCATACTAAAGGTTAACGAGCATCCCAAAAATTGCATTCCAATACTGAAATGCATATCTAAGTTTCTCTTAGGATCAGCTAAAGTGACTACGCAATCTCATTTAATGTTCTGTAACTTCTGACATTTTTGATAACTATGAATAATTATTTTTGGTAAGGAGTAATTTTAAGTCAATCTCTTATGTGCTAATCTTTATAGGAGTTGCAAGTAGTTAATTTCGACCTACTGAGAATGCCAATCAGTATTCAGTCTTCTCTTTCCCACTCAGCCGATTCCAAAGATGCTAGAGTACAACAGGATCTTGAGAAGCACATGATAGGTGACTGTTTCAATAGTTGTACTGCATATACTGACAAAGGGATTTTAAAAATACATCTATCTGATTCAGTATTGAAAGACTAGAAGGCTATATTAATACAAAGATAATAGATTATAATGATATGACATTTTGAATTTTTAGTTTTTGGAGTGGGAGGGGAAAAAAAAATCACCTTTAGTCACAAATGCTTCAATTATGTACATATTTTTATGAAAATACCATATTACCACAAGCTGAAACTTTTCTGTATCTACAATAAGAAAAATTCATCAACATAATGTAGTTTTAGAATATACAGACTTAAAACACTTTCCTGGAAAGGACTAGTTAAAACTGATTTTTACTGGACAGAGTACCAGAGGGGAGACCTTGACAGAGAGCGAGCTCTGGAGATCTGCAGTGAGCTGTCCTCAGTCTTTAACTGACTACTGAAAAGCACATGTGAGTGAGCTAATAATCTGAAGGTGAGGACACTACCTGAGTCCTTTTCGAAGGCTCTGAAAAAGACAATTTCCAGAACTCACATAGGGCTTAGAATAGTTCATATTCCCAATAATCTTCAAATACATAGGGGTTAACAGGTAGAGTACTCAGAAGGATACTGCCTCAATAGTGGAGTTACACTAATTTAGTGGGAATAATCCTAGACTAAAGCTGCTCCAAGTCCTGGCTAACAAAGCATAAAAGCAAGCATAAAACTGTTCCAAGTAACTTAACTCAAGGCTGTCTCTGAACAAAGCTCAAAAATATTTAAAGGAATACAAAAAAATTTCATATCCACCAGCATAAAATCCACATCTGCCATCCAAGCAGAAATTACAAAGAAGCAGAAATGTATGATGCATGAGGAGGAAAAATCAATAAACAGACCCAGAAATGACACAAATGACAGAATTAGTAGACAAGGACATCGAAACATCATTAACATCTCCATACAGTCAAGAAAGAATAAAAAAGCACGAACATGTTAAGTAGACATGGAAGATATTTTAAAAACCCAAAGTGAATTTCTAGAAATAAAAATAAAATGTCTGAAATTAAAATAGATTCTAAATGTATCCCTGTCTCAGCCAAGCCTCCACACTGCACAAGTCACTCTACTTTCTTCAGAATAAAGGACAAATTCCTGTACGTTATTTAAAATATTTCACAATCTTCAATTTCAACAATAAATACTTTTAAATTAAAAGATTTGCCTAAAATCAGAGGCAGAAAATAAGGTCCAAGTAATTAATTCAACAGCACTGATCATGTGGCAGGTATTAAGAAATTGCTGAAGAAAGCACCATAAACCAAACAAACATGGAGCTTATGTTCTAATAATCAAAATAGCTGCCACAAAATCTTTGTCACAAAATAACAACAAATAGATATGCATGTTCTTATTTAGAACTGTTTATTTTTCTATATTACGGTAATTTCATTACCTAATTTTCAGCCACAATAAATCAGAAATAGCAAATTATTTAAGTGTGTATAGGTTACTTAAGGTAAATATACTGAAAGTTGTCAAGAGTGACAGTATAAAATCTGACAGCAATAATGGTAACACAAAATTAAAAAGCAAAAATAGAGAAAACACAGCAACCAGACACACTTACTAGAGGGGCAAGCAGCTTTGCATACTTTAATCACTGAGCCAATAAAAGCTCAATGACTGACTTGGATACGTATCAGAATACACAATTTGTTTTTATCCACCATACTAGATCAACTTTAGAATCTAAATACTTTGTTTAAAGAAGTCTAGGGTTTGTGAAATGTAACTGACATTCGAACTAACTAAAAAATATGAAAAACTTTTCCCAACCTTTTCTCAGGAATAACTATATGAAAATGTTACTATATTTTACTTCATAATGCATTATGGATTCTTTTTTTAAAATCTGGCTCTACCAGCATGTTTGTCCACTCTAATATGTATTCAGTATTTTTTCTTTCCTTTATCTTT